GCGATAGACTTACCTCCACGTGGTGCACCCTGGGCAACGTATACTCATACGGCAAAAAAGTCAATTAACCGGCATCTGACTTCAAACTACCACGACCCCCCCCCCCTGGTTGTCATACTCGACCCCTTTCACAGTACTCACCTTACCTTTTTCTCTACCTATGTGTTTGTCTGCCTCTTTTACTTCTGCGAATCGTTCTTCTGTTCCCCACCCCTCGACTTGCTGCTACTCTGATGAACCTTCCCTCTGTGAAGCCCGAAGTCAGCTAAATGGCTAATGATATCTATCAAAACGCCTGCCATTTGAAATAAATGTTGCTTGCTCCAAATTTCAATTTCGCCATACAAAAGCACCAACTGCCCCCCACCATCTTAAAATACAGAATACAGGGAACGGTACTATTACCACAAATGAAAAATAACTAAAGGCTTAAAGATGTTTTTGAATGAAATTTCGATTGTGTTTTTCTATCTGAGTTCTATTTTGAAAATTTTAAAATAGTTAGTGAGAGAGAGAGAGACATCGTCTATATAACTGGCAAAAATTATATCTATCTTTTTTCCACCAGAACGGAGGAAACGGATCGGGAATCTTCTCGTGAAGCCAGCTCAGAGAGCGAGGAGGAGGAGCGTGTACAAAATCCCCTTGCAAACGATCCCAATGCCGAATTGCCACCCGAACACTGGCATATTAGCAAATTGATCAAGTACATTAAGGTTAGCAATTTGCACCCGTCAGTCATCATCTGACATTTTTGAGGTCATGAGATCTTGTTCACTGGTGTATCTCTAGTGATGTGAATGACCAATCGCACGAAATTTCTGAACAATAAGAGAATTTTTAAGATATATTCCAATTCAAGCTTTGTGAACAATTTACATATTGTACTTGAGAATTTAATAACCTATGTGTAAGTAAAAAACTGAGTGACAAATCCTCCATTTTTTTAAGGGAGGCAATCAGACGTCAACTGTCATATCGCTTTGTGCTCTGTACGACATGCCACTGGAAACTGAGGTTTGTCAAATAGCCATTCGAGACACTGGAGGAGTTGAAGTCTTGATCAACCTTCTAGAAACAGATGAAGTCAGAAGCCTGGTGAGGACTGCAAGTTTGATTGCCTTTTGCTCTTAACTAGAGAAGAAATAAACAATTTGACTCTAAACATATATCTAGCTTGGTTCCCTCAAGATCTTAAAAGTGATCTCCAAAAATCCAGAACTCCGTAGAGCCATCTCTGATCTGGGAGGAGTACCTCCAATGGTCCGGCTATTGAGTTCATCTAATCGAGATCTCAGGTGCTTGAGTGCTGAAGGGATTGCAAATGTGGCTAAATTTGCTCGAGCTCGCAGAACTGTCAGATTGCATGGTGGCATTAAGAAACTGGTAAGAAGCAATTTGTCTGCAGGTAGTGTGCTTGCTATTGCACCGAATCGCCGCTGATATAATCTAGATATTATAATTATGTATGATTATTATTCGTGGAAGTATTAATCATAACGAATTAAGTAAAAGATAAACAAATTAAGCAATATAAAGGTAACGAGATAGATGTCAAGATAAAAAGTAGGCAATGGAGTGATTTCAACAACCAGTCTTGCTTTATTTGAGAGATTGAAGCATTGAGCTGTCCACTTTTTCATAATGAGTATGAATCGCTGCACGATGTTTTGACTCTTTAATTTAATTTACCCCCCCCCCCTATTCAGGAATTTGATTCTGTCTAACAGATTCTGTAACAGTTCTAACTGTCAAGCGCATGCGCGAACTCTATTCACAGAACAAAGCAACTTTTGTTTTAGTTCCCAAAAAAACATTTCATCCAGCTTCTGATAGGATAATATTCGGTTAATTTGCAAAATTATAGGAGTAGCAATTGAATAACATTAGATTTTAATGAAGATCATGAATACGAAGGTAATTAATACCTCTTAGTAACAGAGTTACTTTTTACTGCAAAGCTCGAAAGGAAAAAGTAAGGGAAAGCCGATTATTTGAACGAAGTTACAAAGGGATAAGAAGTATAGGGAAAAATGAATAAACGCATTCAATTCAAGGAGAACAAAGCGAAACAACAAATTAGTGCAATTACAAAATCTGGCTTGAAAACGTACTAATTACATTAGAATAAGTTGTAGCGGATTGCTACTTTAATAAAGCCTGACCAACTCAGAAATCTCTATGGCAGATTCTCAGACCGACTCAGAAATCTCCATGGCAGATTCTCAAACATCTAGCTACCGGCTCAGAAATTTCTATGGCAGATTCTCCAACATCTAGCTAGGAATCAGAAATCTCTATGGCAGATTCTCCAACCTCTAGCTAGAGAACAGCTAAGCTATAGCTCAGCTATAAAGAAAACAGACGTGTAGCACGGAGCGCGTTTATATCTGTGGCAGATTCTCCTACATCTAGCTAGACTCCCAGAACGGCAGATTCTCCAACGTCTAGCTAGACTCCCAGAACCAGGGAGATTCTCCTACATCTAGCTAGACTCCCAGAACCAGCTAAACCATAGCCCAGCTATAAAGGAAACAGACGAGTAGCACGGAGAATTCTCCAACATCTAGCTAGACTCCCAGAACAAGCTAAGCTATCGAACCAGCTAAGCTATAGCCCAGCTATAAAGGAAACAGACCGAAACTAGCTAAGCTATAGCCCAGCTATAAAGGAAACAGACGATAATTCGGAACACGTATATTCAGTCACGTAATGATCAGAAAAGTGTGCACGGAGCACGTTTATTCAGGACGTATCTTGCGGATCAAGTATGTGGATAAAGTGTACACGCGGGGAGCTACTCATGATCATGATGGGGGATTAGGTTAAACAAACAGAGGTTGGTGATTGGTCACTGTTTGTACGGTCGCTGCACACAGAGTTGTACGGCTGCACCTCCCAATCCTGGCGAGCAGACATGCGGGCATACGATGACGCACAGAGCGATAACGTGTCCCACAGTCGCCTACTTTCTTAAAAATACTAAAATTGGTCTGTTAAAAATATCATTTAAAACTCAACGTTATTTTTTTGAAGTAGATTGAAATTAAATCTCCCACCGCCCACATAAAAATCTTTTTCAAATATTTTTGGTCATCAAATTTCTTTTCATCCAGAACTTTCATTATTTATTCAAATGTACGCAAAGTACTGTAGTTCTGTTACTATCCACGTGAGTTCCATGAAATCTTTTACAAGCTTTTATCACGAAATAACAAGTGGTTAAGCGAGGGTTGGGACGGCTAACTCAAAAAGGAATATACAATGAGGTCGATGCATAGTTTCCCTTGCTTAATTATAACTAACTATTTGGTGTCTGGGTGAATTTATATCTGCAATATTCCGACCTTATTGGCCAGTGGATGCATTTATTAAATTTCCTACACCTTTACTCGATAGATATGAATAGTAATCGTAATTAACTAAGACAGAACTCAATAGGGTCTACTGTGTATTAATTCCATTTAGTTGCTTTCTTAATTGTGAAAATTATATTCTCTACGAAATGCGGTTTTCCATACCAATAGAAGGGTTTAATTAAAAATACGATCCTTACTTTCTCTTAAAAATTATAGTGGTCTCTTGGCCACTTTCGACAAATTATTTCAACCTGAGTGATTTGACTTCAATCAGTATACAAAAAGATTACTAAATTTTTTTGAAATCCCTGGGTCAAATCTAGTGCTTGAATAATTTTTGGATCACATAAATAGGGATAAAAATTAAATTACTTTTATGAATCCAAAGATAGGAAATAAACTGGATGTAGCATGTCTTTTGAATACAATAAAATAATTATATTATTTGTCCAATGTGGTATGTTTAGCGTAAGATGAACTACTAAAATAGATTTATATATTATTTAAATTTACGCCAAAATATGCTCTGATTTGCGCGGATGGACAGCTCCATCGTCATCTTTAGATGAAGGTGCTCAAAAGTATGTGCTTATTGTGTAGATAATTTTTATTAAACCTGCAAACCATAACTGAGCAAAAACTTCAACGGAGAAGATAATTTGCTACTTTCCAAAAATTTGGCCTTAATTAAAAAAATTCGGTTTCAATGTTAAACTTCATGAGGCAGTGACAAAGAGAAATACCAATTGCATTATTCCGTCTTCTTATTAGATCGCTTTGCTAGACATGAGTCATTACCGCGGCGATTTGCGAAGTCCGGGAGCTGTGAGTGAACTTGAAGTTGCTCGTTGCGGTGCCTTGGCGCTTTGGTCCTGTTCCAAATCCGCGAGAGCCAGAAGAGCTATGAAGAAGGCCGGTGTAATCTTACTACTTGCGCGTCTTCTCAAGTCAAAATATGAGCCCCTTCTTATTCCAGTGATTGGAATTCTAGAAGAATGTGCGTCTGAGGTAAGCATTTGAGTTAATATTATGGAGTATTTTTATTCCAAGGCCATTTTATTGATTTATTAAAGTTCATTGGTCATCATCACTCTTCTGTGCCAGTCCCATAGTTCCCACCCCTGTAATATTCACCATAAATATTTCCCTGTTACATAATGGTTGACTAAGTTAATGTCTTTATTCCCATTTCACCTCCTCAACCTCTACAGTGAAACCAGCTTCATTTATACTTGCAAATATTTCCATTCATAATGTTACAACAAAATCATGAGTCTTAAGTAATAGTATCTTGTAAGTACAGCCTACCTGAAAATAGGCGACATCGTTTTCGGATATTCTTTTTCACTTATGATCTTGTACTTAAGTAATGCATTGTCTTTAATATCCCCATCTTGTATACTAGAGTACTCTATAAGTAAACCAATGATTAGCATAATCGATCCAAATTTTATATGATAAGTTACTCGAAAATCTTAAGGATTTGGGAGATTATGTTGGTGCGCCGTTTGCAGAAGTTTCCATGTTCGTAATGAAATAGAAAGAAACAGAAATTTCGAACTTAATGATCATTAACTTCCAGAGTGTCTAAACTCTGAGTATTCTAGGCTCAGTTTCGAAGAAAAGAATCCGTTCATGATAACTAACATTAATTTTGCTATTTTTTTGCACCTGCTGATCTCCAAATAGAATTTCAGGGTAAATATTTTAAATAAAGTATAGTTTTCTTAATCACATATTCTCCGGACGCAATGGAGATAAAAGGTCTAATTCAAAAAGAAGAGAGAAAGTGTGAGAGGAAACATACACACAATGTGGAAGTAGAATCAATCATCAAATATGTAACCGTGACGACATGACTCAGCACATTTTCGCATGGCTACATCGATTGAGGACATGGAACATAGTAGTAAACACACGGCATTTATTTTCAAATCGAGAGTCTAGGGTGACTTAAATCCACAAAAAATACAAAAAAGGTAAATTCAAGAGAGATAGAGAGAGAGATAAAGAATAGTGCTGGTTATTGAGATTATAATACTAACACATCCTCTGTCCAAAAATGTTATAAATGGGTTGACGCAGTGAGACGCAAACTCATTGTAGTAAAGAAATAACTTAGAAGTGCATTTGTTGAAAAATAGTGACCTAAAAGCGATTCTTATTTTAGTCTAGCCTAGTCCATATTCGTATTGGTCGAACTGAATACTTTCGCTTTTCATGGACATAAAATATTTTTTTATTAAATTTTTGAATAAGATCCAATCATTATGCGATTCCTGGAAAAAAAGGGGAGAGAATGAAAAAAATATAAGATGTTATCTAAAGTAAAGGACTAATTAAGTAAATCAGCATAATTAAGTCACCTTCCAATCAAGAGAATCTTAAGTCATAAAAGTTTTATTATCATTGGTTATCTACCTCTATATCTTTCCTTTATTCATCTGCATTCACGATTTCTTATAATTTAGCATTTTTTAATTCTTCATTTATGATAAAATTAATTTCTATAAGCAACAAAGCATTCAGTACCCTTCGTGAAGTTAAAATTTCACAAAAAATTAATTTGATGAAAAATAAAGGAGTTTGGAAAATATTTATGGATTATTGAGCATCTAACAGAACCATAAATCTAGTTAACACCAACGTCGTCACTGCATAATTTCTCTTAATAAAGCAAATATTTTTATTATTGATATAGATAAATGCGAAAAGGCGTTCTAATACCATCGAAACAGATTACCTTCTCATATAAGCCAAATTAAAATTCACTTTTATTATCTTACTTCAGTTAGTGAAATGGAGTAGGGATGGAATCAAACGGGGCGTACTAAGGGGGGGGGAGGGGTACATGAGAGAAACATGTTTGATCACTGCTCCAACACAATAACTTGAACAAGCTGGAATGATGACTCTGCAAACCTGATTATGATTCAGAAGTAAATCTGATTGTAGAATAGATTCCAGACCTTTGACAAACAGCTTCTTTCTCGAGAAGATTTACTGAAGATAAAGGGTTCAAATGTTTCTTCCATTCATGAACAAATTCGGATCTAGGAAGTGATGGAATAATTTTAATTCTCACATTTTATTCAGAGTGAACATTTCCGAACATTGAAAAATTTTCCAATGCCTTTCTCTCAAAAATTACAGTAATATGACTGCATGATCTATGATTGTTGTCATTCGAGGGATCATTCCAAGTTTCTACTATTTCCCAGCAATCTCCCAGAACCGTAACAGTTAAAAGTCTGTTGTCAAATCCTAAGAATCATAATAGAAGGGGACAACCTACATTAGAGGAATTTGCTAATAAATAAATAACTTTGATCAGCTAGTATAACCGTAGTATGAATCAACAAAGTTTGATTAGCACAAATACTCAAATCAAATTTCCAAACAACTGCGTTGCAGAATATTTCCATTCATCTTAAAAATAACTGAATGATTTTCACCTTGTCCTATTTTGTGCGTAAAAATGTCACATTGGCAAATTGTCTGGGAAATGAGGACATAGGGTAACCGTGTTCCTAAGTAAATTAGAATGCAAAGTAAAGAGTTGCTACAGGTCGCTGAATGAAAATAAGAAACCAAAGCAAATGGAGATCTCCCGAGGAAAATAGTAGTAAATTCAATGGTAGGTTCCACGCATGCAAATTGATATGACGGACTCGATATTTTCGAGTTGTACGGTTTTTACGCATTCAAGCGCTGATTGTTAGAGAGGTAAAAAACAACAACCCTTGAGAATGCGCTCTCGTAGATACTCAAATTAAACTGGTGTGATTTTAGGAGTAAGAATAGATGGAGTTTGCAAAATATCAGTTAATAAAAATAAAAACTCGATTTTAAATAAACACATGTATATATACCTATACGTATGTGTATATTTCATTACTGTGTATATCAAAAGCATGCACAATGAATCAGTCAACTAATTTATGTACTCCCAGCTTAGATAATTATATGTTTCATTTTAAGAATCTTCTGTTCTCACTCTATAACCAGTAACATCAGTTTACTAACTATTTCAGCAAGATTATCGCATCGCTATTCGAACCGAGGGAATGATTGAAGATCTTGTGGCTCATCTGAAGATTCCAAACGAAGAGTTGCAGATGCATTGTGCTACAACTATCTTCAAAGTGAGTTTAGTCATAGTCCAACACATTTCCGAATTTAATCATTCACACACAAAGTTAAAGGGGGGAAGATGTCTATTTATATATATATATATATATATATAGGTCTGAAAAAATCATTGGAAGTGGTAGTTGATATATTAGAAACATCACGATGCGTTTTAGTCCAAAATGAAAGAAACCTTATCTTTTATGACTCTATAAAGAATTTAACAACCTACTTTTGTTGAATCATAGAGAACATTTTGGTTTCTGTATTGAAAAGCCTTCAGATATGTTAAGTAAAATTTAATCGCCTCTCGTTACAATCTAATTAACCTTACAAAATGGCTTGAAATCTCAGTACTCAGGAGTAAAACCTTAATGCTAGTCTTTAACCTCAGTATCATGCAAGCAAAAAACTTCACTTTGCCATATTTTGACAAATAGGTAAATAAATAAATAGTTTATAAAGCTTTTACTTGGAAATGAATTGTTATCCAATCGCTCGTCTTGAGCTTTTGATGCTCTGATCGAACTCAAACATATCAAACAGAATTAGTCACTTTTATCTTAATTGTGACTTGAATGGGATTGGATCTCTAAAATCTTAAGAAAGTGCATGTATAGACCATTATGATAACAATCACCGCACTACCTAACTATGGCCTACCTATTCATGCCGGAAAAACATTTATATACATTAAATGGCCCGCTTTCAATTGTAATGTCTAGAAGACAAGGTTCCCTGCATCCATTTAACAAATTGAATTCGAATAAATGTCAGTAAGTAATCGTATTCTCAAACTTTCTGATTCATTTTCTATTTTTAAAGAAATAATTATAGGTACTTTGTAGATTTAAATGAGAGATAAGAGATTTATAATGCTAAAATGTATTTTTTCTTGATTCTAGTGTGCTGATGACAAAGAATCGCGCGAACTTATTCGAAAGTATGGTGGGTTACAACCTCTTATTGAAATCCTTTCACATCATGAGAACAAGGAACTTCTAGCTGCTGCAACAGGAGCTATTTGGAAGTGCGCAGCATCGCCTGGAAATGCCAAAGAGCTGCAGAAAGGCGATGTCATATCAAAGCTGGTTTCAATCCTGACAGAACAACCCGAAGAAGTAAGAAAGACTTTGGTTATCTTCATATTTAAAACAGTTTGTACATTTGCGTTATATTAATTAAAATTTAATTAAAAAATTTCAATTAATTTCGACGTAAATATTAGTGAATCTGGAGAGCGGGAAGAACTAAATCCGATCAATAATGATCGAATTCATATGAATGTCAGTTCTAAGAAATAGTGGACTACCTTGATTATTTACTAACTTCGAGAGACGAGAGACAAGTCTCGACTCGAAGAAGCATATTTATATTATAAAATCTCCAAAAAATTAAAAATTCAAATGAAGGTTAGTCTATCTGGAGCCGGACGCTTCAATAGTAAGTTCAGGTTCGCTTAATAACTCCCATTGAAACACACTCGGCATAAACAGATTGGTCGTGTACAGCAGCACAGATGACCAAAGGCGTGGGCTTGATCTGAAATGTTTATTTACTCTATTCCTGCCTATGTGCTCATTTAAATCCGCCACAAGAGTTGAAAGGGTATTGTCGTAAAGCATTTAAAGAAAGATTGTCATGGGGCTGAAAGAAATAATTTGAATGGGAGTGAAATAAGCTCATTATTCAACAATATTATAAATAAAATATTAGCACTCAAGAATTTTCCTGGAATTTCCCTATTTTTCTATAAAGGTTCGAATTCGAATTCATTATTTTTTGCTCATTTGCAGATGAAAACACTTTATTATGTCAAATCGGTGTCTCCAAAAGTTAACTTGGTTTCTCGAACTGAAAAGGTTATTTGCTTGTTAATCTCCTCAACGTTTTTTCGTATTTACTTCTTTTTTGACTGGGATGTTTAAATTGAGCTAAACATGACAGTTATTCAAGTTTTCATGGCACTCCTTTTTTAAATTATCAAATCGTTCAATTTTGCGCGTTGGTCACATTCATCAAAATCATTGTGCCATAGAGCTAAATTTGCTATTTTAGGTTCTAGTAAACGTTGTTGGAGCTCTGGGAGAAATGGCCATGGACAAGGCAAACATTCCACTAATTCAAAAGGCCGGCGGAATACAACTACTGATTGCACTGCTCACAGGGACTAACGAGGACCTTCTGGTGAATACTACTCGTGCTCTCGGTCAAATGGCTGAGGACACAGAGTGTGCCTCGTAAGTTACATGGGAATTAATTGAATATTTCCCTGTCATGACTCCAGTACATGCCTTACGTCACTGAACTAAAATCACTTCATAAGGCTCAAAATGTTACAACGTTGTACTGTTTATACCTTCTAGACAACTTTGGCCGGTTTGAATTTAATGAATAAAACAGTATTTCGGGAGTCTAAGTTATAAAAGTACCATAAAAGTGGAACACAGCCTTTGGATGCAGCTACTCAGTCTCCATGAAGAGGATGAGAGAAGACTTTTAGATCGAACGACCGTTTTTACTAACAAAACAAATTTGCTCACATAAACGTCAGTATCTATAGCCAAGAAAAATATCTCTTTAAGTAATCTTTATTACGCTGAATAACCAAAAAATAATCAATCGAGTGTTCTAAGAATAGATAGCTCGTGGTGAATAGTAACCTAAGTAATTACTACGACTGTGAGGAGGTAAGCATAAAATCATGCACTCAAGGTACTAAACATGGGAAAATTGGGTTGATGTTACCTCTTCGGAGGTGGGAAGTATTTAACCATGTTGGCAGAGTTGGCAGCTATTAAGTGGTCGCAATAATGAAGGAAAAAATTATTTTATTATTCTTATTTATAGAGCAATCGAAAAGAGCGATGGGGTACGATTGCTCTGGTCCCTCTTGAAGATGAAAAATTCGAGTGTTCAAGCGAATGCCGCGCGGGCTCTGTGTTCTTGCATTGAAAATTCTAGTGTAAGCCATCGTTAATATTACTTACGCTTAGAAGAGTGTGGCAGTAATGCGACGATTGGAAAACTGTCCGTTGAGTCGTAGTTCATGGGTTCGGTGCATATTCATTCGCTTATATTTTATTTCAAATGTCAGTCGTTTTAATAATTTTCATTAGCTCTTTAGCTGACTTCAGGCTTCACAGAGGAGGAGGAACATCAAAGTCACTAAAAGTGGAGGGGGAGGGGAACAGAAGAGTAATTCATAGATGCAAAAGAGACAGACAAGCACAAAGGTAATGAAAAGGTAAGATGAGTATTGGGAAAGTGGTGGAATATGACATACAGTGGGGTTATAGTAGTTTGAAGTGGGAAGTCAATTTCCGTTTTATAGACTTTTTTGTCGAAGGAGAATACATTGCCTAGGGTGTACCACGTGGAAGTAAGTCCCCACTTTCTTATATGTAACCGATTGTACTAAGTAATAAGGAAAAAGGTAGAGATGGACAAATGCAGGACCCAGGGAAATAATTGTTGAACCAGAAATAGGTATCTTTTCGTGACCTGTTATTTATTCCTATTTAAATGTTCTCTTCGAATCAGATTAATTTTAAAAGTTTTATTACAATTGATCACGTTAAACTGATTTTAGTTACATAAATATGTAAAATTAACAAATCTTGATCTCAAAATTCGTGCTGTAAAGTTCCTATGCATCAACGATTGTTTTACAATTTTATCTGATGGCACAAATTTGTGTTATTTTTTTCAGGGAATATTCCCACCTCCTAAGTGAGGCAATAAATAAGCTATGTTACTTGGCCATATACTTTGAAAGCACTTAAACTCAAGCAATAAAAGCACGTAAAACGAAATAGTTATGAAAGTAGTGAATATATTTGGCGGTGGAAACCGGGCAATTGATAAGAAAACGATGATGAGTCAAAACGACACTGAACGTTTAAAGATAAATGCATGACGATTAGGGGCTGATTAAGGAAGAATATTGTGCTTTACCTGAGCTAGAGTGTCCTAGAGATTTCGTAATAATTGTCAATATGCTTATCTTGAATGGCGTCGTTTCCGTTTATTGACAATCTGCCCGAATTCAAAGGTTCAGTTACCTTAGTAACGGCAATTGTGTGCAATTCATTTATGTACATTTAAAAAGTAATATGCTTCAATAATTTCGTATATATATTAAGCCGTCAATTATATTAGATAAGAATAAAATTGGAGTAGGATTGCCGGGTGATTGCGTGATAAAATAAGACGGTAATTTGATATTTGAATAAGAATAATAATAAAAAACAACTTAACGTAATCTTTTAAAGCTACAAACAATACTTAATTTCATTACTGACTGCACATTTCCGTGTTCTTTTATACAATATGAAGTAGTGGGATAAATGGGGTTGACAAGATCGATAGAAAGATGTCTATTAGATGAACACCGGTTTGTACAATGCACAAAATGGTAAATTTATACATCATTTAGCAGTAAAGCAAAGCAAGGAATCTCAAAAATCTTTCATTGATTTGAGACATTAAAATATAATTTCAATATATGGCTAATTTCTACTTTTCTCATTCATGGTAATGATGTGTTTAGTAACCTGCGGATAAGTGCCAACTCAATACGTTATTATGATTTCCTTGGTTTCTTATTCCCAAAACTTTATATTCAGCATAAATACCACCGGTAACCTGACGTATTTATCTTGAAAGCAATAAGATAGTGTGGGGAGATTTTTACGAAATAGCGATTGGGCAAGTAATGTAAGGAATAACCAGTTTCAGTGCATTTTTATTTTAGTTAAATTAAATAAGTGCATGATCCACAACCTTATTGGTGAAGCCTTCTACTGTGACTAATGTTCAAATGACTTTACAAAACTTAGTCTAAATGCGAAAATCCATTATATCCCTTTCAATGGACATTTTACATATGTACATTCATCAGCATTGGTCTCTATCAACTAGTCATGCACCACTCTTAGGGAAGTGTCTAAGTACCGGCAAAATCAAAGAAATAAATTTTTAACGTTTTAGATGAAAAAAGCTATAGTACCGAAGTAATTGCTTTGAAGTGCCATCCCAAAACACCATCTGGAAAGGACATTTTATGCTTATTTTCTGCCGTTACTTTATTTGCCCGCCTAATAGCACGTCACTTCTAATTGGCTACATTTTATAGTTGTAAGAATAAATAGATTCAATGTTTCAGTACAAATCTTTGGCATCATGAAAGTAAGCAAAAGTCGGTTCACTAATAAACTGACAATCGTTCAGTGCTAATTATTTCAATCACCGGGTGGTCAATAATCAGGATGCTCTTCATTCCACCTTGTTAAAAAACTCATATAGGCTGACCGCTTGGATACTCAGAAAAAATTCCCTAACTCGTTTCGGTAGCTGTTTACAGTACCTGACTTGAATAAATAGAAGGGATTCTAGAGCCACTCGGATGACAGAATCGTATTCTGCCATTCCTCGTGTTGACAAGAATAAATTAGTGCTATTGGCCATCGCGCCACCCTGGTGTGGATCAATGAGTACTGATTTGTCAGATCTACATGCTGATTACCTAGCACTCAGGATCTTCCAAAATTTTAAGTCGGCAAACAACAAAGAATATACCTTAAGGAATTCGAATATCTTCTCTCTGAAGCAAATGTTTCTTTGAACGAACTAATTTCGAAAAATAACTAATTATATATTATTTAATTTATTAGGAGAGTGGAGAGCTGGTACGTAGCTTTGTCGGTGGACTTGAACTCGTGATTAGTCTTCTGCGTTCTCCTTCAATAGAGGTACGAGCGGCTATCTGCGGAGTCATCTCAAAAATTGCGAAAGATGAAGAGAACCTTGCTGTGATCACTGATCATGGTGTTGTTCCACTGTTATCCGAATTGGCTTATACGGTAAGTACTTTCACATGTACTTCGTTCGTAACTTTTAGATGGGTCTAAATTGTAGGGGTTTTTCTTTCAGTTCTAAATAAAGAAAATTGCGCTTTGCTTTAATAGTATTTATTCCCATGCTTTTTCAATTACTCTAAAAGCATCAGCAAATTAATTCCTGTCTACTAACCGGTTCGATAGATTAGCTACTTTCTTCTAGGATTCCTTGATCTAAAAGGGGTTTCCAAATGATTTCCCACGCACAAGCATGAGATTCTAAGCTTGAAGGAGAAAGCACTAAAACCACAGAATTATTGAGCTGTTTGACCAATACCTTAACTAAAATCAACGAAAAAATGAACAGGCATGGTCAAACGCCGCGGGAAAGAAGAAGCGCTGCTACTGTGACTACTCAAATTTGACTTATTTTTGACATTAATTTCTACCGGCAGGGGAAATAAGTGACTGCCCAGTCAGTCAATAATTGCCGAGGTGACAACTTAATACAGGCAAGATCGTGGACATAAAGTGAAAATTCTTCCGTAAAAGGGAAGCACCAATAACCTCTGGCCAGGCCTTCTAACATATAGTCATAAAAATGATTTCAAGAATAATAATATATTGATTTTTTTAGTCTTGACATCAATTATAGAGCGCAAACCGCAAATCACATGCCCATACACTATGGGCGCGTATGAGGATTGGACTGACATACATACATACGATTTGTCCCAAGTTCATTCTGGTGCACTTATAGAGTACCGCGTAATAGGAACATATAATTATGGCTTATGACAGCCTATTAAATAGCAGTTAGCTCAGATGATGCCGAACGAATATGGTGTTTGTTTCTATCAGGAACATCAACTAAGAGGTTTGCGTCCCGTTTGTCCACAGAGGGGACTATGGAAGAAGATACGTACTACTTTTGTCCAGAGAGTGGGCTGGGGGAAGAGCTGAGAGTTATGAACAAATACAAAAGTCATATGCCCTGAATGTGGGTGTCTATCAAGATAATACACTGATTTTCGACTAATCGATTTAGGCAAAAGGAGTTTGATGGAATCTATTAGAAGTACGCAGTTACACAAGTTATCTCCAGGAGTGATCTACATGCTGTGATTAGTGAAAATATTCATAAGCTTTGTAATGGAAACTAAAATACGACGGTGAAAATATAATCATTCATACCATAACAAAATAAACGAATTAAAGTTTTCTGAAAGCCAAATTTACAAAATACTCATGCACGATGACATTAATAGAAAAATGGAGACAGCCATTAAATTAATACATTATTTTTGTTTATTATTTCTTACGGTAATTTGATTATTTAAGAGGTTAAAAACGCGAGTTACTTGCAAAATTGAAATATAAGCATAATTGTGATCAATCGGGTTTAATGAAAATTGTTGAGCTCACTTATGGCAGCTAACTCTCTTGCGAACCTGCCATCCAAACTAAATATCAGAAAAGCAATGAATCACTCAGTTGCAAACGGCTTCGTGTTGGATACACATATTCCCAAGTTAACAGCAATCAAAGTTGTCTGTTAAAGGTTATGAAGAAAGAGACCGATACACCGTTTATTCATTCACGTCCTTATTTTCATGGGTCAAATTAATCACAGATATGACCTCTCTCAATGCTCTTGTCGGTAATGTTATGAGAATGTGAATTGTAGTACCAAATAGGCCATTTAATTTGCATTCATTCATTTTAGAATGATGATTCCTTGCGACGTCCACTTGCAGAAGCGGTGGCCAGATGCTGTTGCTGGGCCACTAATCGAATCGACTTCGGTAAGAACGGTATTGTGGAACCAATGGTATGCTATCTCAAGTCTGATGATCCAGTAGTTCAATGCGCCGCAGCTAAGGCACTCTACCAACTCAGTCGACATCCAGGCAACTGTGTGACTATGCATGCTGCGGGTGCTGTAAAACATCTCGTTGATTTGGTTGACTCGGATGTAAGTTTAAATAATTTTAGTTAACCGAAAGCCAGGGTAATTGTAGGAGAGTTTGAGATCAGCAGAAAGTTCACACGCATATTGTTATTATATCGTCTAATTTGTTCAGTGAGGCTGAATGCAGGCACTTCATAATTCTCCCCAGAGATGAAATTGCATCTCAAGCACTAACAGTCTATTTATAGAAAGTGCATTTAAAAATTTGAAATAGTGATATCAAAATACTTTTGCTGTTTGTAATTACCCAAAGTACTATAAAACGAGCAAAACGTGTTCATCTCTCGAGTTAAAAGAAATTTGCAGCTGCTTGAATTCGACTATTTTCTCTTTAAGAATTTCGACCAATAGCATGTTAGTTGGCAGCATTTTCACAATAAATTTTATTCTGACAGTATAAAGTTTTAAAAGATGGATGCTTTACTTAACCTGCTTTATTTTTTACTTTCTTTCCATTTTAAAAAATATTAAGAATTAACGCACTCATTGTGGATAGTATTGGCACAATTGGCCGAAATTGAAAATAGGGCATCATAATTATCAATCGAAATTCAAGTCTGGGCTCTTGCAATGTTCACATTCCAGAGAGTAAACAAAAGAATGTACTTGGATTGAAGGTCTTATGATCTCGCGATTAACGTGGGGAAGAAATATATATATATATATATATATATATATATATATATTGAAATGTGCTGTGCGTTGACAAAGTGCCAATTAATGAAACTAGACGGTCGGAAATAATTTAGCAAGAAATTGATGAGAATAATTAAATTTTTTGCTGCAGAAAATTTGTGCAAACTAAAGTTATACCCTTGATCATGAACAACCGTGGTAAATATTAGGTAGAATAAGTAGGGAACTACAGTTTTATTTAAAAGATACATAGCATCGGTAGCTATAACGTTGCTTTTAGTTGGGGAAATTACATCGATCTGAGAGGGGTGGATGGAGGTGATCGATATGAAAACATTTATGAGATTTTAGATTACGATGCATCTTTGCTTTTTTATAAATTCTCTTGATAATAGAATCTGAAGAAGATAAGAAAATTGGAGTTGAAACAACCACCTAATTTTCATATTATAAGTGCAAGAACCGATGAGATGTACGTGTATTGCACACAAGGAGTAACCAATGAGGTAGAAGGGAGTCAATATTTATGGAGCTATTCTTCGTTGGTAAGGCTTACCAAACTTGTTCGGACAAATATATGCGTAGCAAATTTCATGGAAAAGGAATCATTCAAGAAGAGACCACATGAGGTTGATTTTAAAGAGATAGTTTTTGAAAGAATGACGTGTCACTACTGATAGTCGTTAGATTACGGTGGGAGATAATCACATACTAATTTATACCACAAAATAATCATATTTCTACTTCATGGTATTGCCTTTACTATTAACGTTTGACTCGATTGTTAAGGAAAACTACAAACTTTTATTGCCCATAATAGGGGAGGGGTGGGGGGAGGACGGATTTTCCTAGACGTTTGACAATCCCATTCTGCTTTTTGCTTTCCTCGTTTGGTCGGAATAGAAGAATAATGCGAACTGGTCTAGTTTTATTTAAAAATTTAAATGAGGTTAAACTTCATAAGTTTAGTGAATTACTTTCTCCTGAAAAAGTAATTGCTTAATTAACTTCCAGGCAAAATCTACTGATTGCACTCATTCTGAGCCTTTAGCATTGTACAATTACTTTAAATGCGTTAAGTTACCATAGGCCAAAGCAAATTGAAAGAGAGTATTTTCAAAAACTCATTTTATGAATTCAATGAGAAATATTTATTCTTTGTAACTGCAGTTAGGGGTATTATTAATTACTACTGGTAATGTCTTTTAGCAAATCGACTTACTACATTGCTTCTGTTCTCCATGCTTATACAAATCAAGAGTGAAGCCAATATCTAATTGTAAATGTTAAGAAGAAGTTACAATTTTTCTTTATTGAGGTTTTTTATTAGCTTCACTTCCTGCTTTTTAGAATCAAGAGTTACAGGAGGCCGCGTCTTTTTGCGTGGCTAACATTCGTCGAATCGCATTAGCATACGTTAAAGCTAAACAAGAGCGTCGAGAAAATCCTGCAGCGACAACGCGCGTACAACCGAAGCTCAGCAGTAGTAAGACATCTTCAACAACTACAGTAGACTCAACACCGAAACCACTCGAGGAATCATCATCAACAAATGAAGAAACCCAGTCTTAGTCCACTAATACTAAATGAATAATAATCGCTAATTACCTCCACCTGCCGCCTTATTTTATGGGTTCTTGTTTTATATTACTTGATTGGGTCTTTAAAGTAACTACTCTGGTCTTTGCCTTCTATAACGGAGGGCATCAGTTTGTTCAAGGTCATAACTGAAATCTAGCTTTCAGACCCTTAATTGCTATCTCCTTTTGAAAAATTTCAAATGAGCGAATAATTCACACCAGTAGACGAAGTCACTAACACCAACAATATATTCATCATTACTCCTTAACAATTGAATAAATGATGGGAGCAGCATTCTGAACACGTGTGAACTGTTGACTCTTTACAGATTTGAAAAACGGCAAAATATGACATACTGTAATAAAATCTTGAACCACAATCAATAACCTGCAATTAATGGAGATTACCATACCTGAATATCATGCGATCAGTAAACAAAAATAAGGCATGAATATTCTAAAATATCTTTCAATTAATAAATTTAGATTTGTTACAAAATAATTAAATGAGGTGTATTTTATTCTGTAAATGCTATTTATAAGTTACATATATTCGAAACCTTCTAATTTCTTTCTTTTGGCGAATTTATATGCTGCCGATTACATATTTGAATTGGTTTTTAAAGAACTGGTAAACCAAAATGAAATAAATTCATTGGGTTTGGATCTTGCACTAACTAATAGATTTAGTCAAGGTGCTCACAGGTAGTTCAAGTTAATGAGACTTATTGACAAAGTGGATCCCACGATAGTACTAAAATTCTGGTAAGATCCTATTCAAATCAAAATTGTTCATTTTTTCCCTTATTGCTACCTTTATATTACTGGACAATTTACAATTCTTTTATTTTCGACCCTTTGGTACGAAAGCCATAAGCTTATTTTTCTATGTTCATTTACCATTAGAAAGGAGAGGTGCGCGATAGACTTACCTCCACGTGGTGCACCCTGGGCAATGTACGATAGACTTACCTCCACGTGGTGCACCCTGGGCAACGTACTTTCTTACGGCAAAAATTCTATCACTCGGCATTCGTTTTTGCTCATACGGCAGACAGCCAGTCTATTAACCGGCAGTTGACTCCAAACTACTATGACGCCGCTATATGTCATATTTGACTACTTCTACAGTATTTACCTTACCCTACTCTCTATCATTATGTCTGTCTCTTTTACATCTGCAAATCACTCTTCGGCCCACCCTCTTAAACTTTGATGTTTCTCCCCTCTGTGAAGTTCGGAGTCAGATAAGGACTAATGATAACTATCGAAATGACCCCATTCGAAATAAATAAATTAACCATTAGAAATAATCAAACAAACGTTTTGATGTACAACATTTTTACTCATATTAAATCAACATTTTTAATTGTAGTAATCGTCGACAGAGTAATTAACGTGCATGTTAGTAAAATCAGAGGTTACGGGTTCAGTGCTTAAGGGGGGTATTCTGGTCTAGAAAAAAAAATTTTCGAAATTTTTTTCTTGCATATTTTCATAGTTAACTATTCAAGAATATGTCTACAATAGGATTTTCCAAAATTCAAATTAGTTTCGGAGATATAAGTATTTTGCTGAGTAGACATGCAAATTGGTTGGGCTGCGACTAATCGAACAAAAGACAAAATGGGTTCTCCGACTACCTGAATCTATATTTCTTAGTATCTATCTATGTTTGTATATATATATATTTTTCACGGCAATTGATAAACGGAACAGGAAATCACCAGCTTTACGTGTGCATCAACAGCAAAATTGAGGAAATCAAATGATGAAGAAGTAATTATAGATAATGATTACGACTAATGTGTTATGGAGTTTTTCACGTTCTTTCCAGCAATTCCTTCGTTTGTTTCGTGTACTACATACAACAACGAGATTAGGCTTTCAAGAACGGCTCAACCCGGACTCGGGTTCAAAATTGTATTACAATGCATTTGCCACAGTCTACGCTACATTC